GAAGCTCTTCTTTCTTTGCTCTATCTATCAAACTGTACCGTTGCTTTTTCTTTGCTGGCTCCAATTGCAAGTAGTGGTCATTGTATTTATTGTAGATCTCTCTTTTTCTTTGGTTAGACTTAAATATTCTTACAATTTTCTTTCTCTCTTCATTTGACAATGCTGATGAGCAAAGTAAAGAATAGGACAAATATCTCTTTCCATCATTGATACAGTCATCTTGCCTATAAATTTCACTGACTTTTTTTACAAGGGCGTTAAGACTGAATGGTCCTAGAAGATGGAATTGCTCATTGTCACAGGTTAACATGAAGTAACGATTGATCTGAGTATTAGGTTGAACTATAAAGCTTATAAGAACATCATTACAACAAAATAAGTATCCCGTGGGTATAGCACAACTTCTAATATTTTCTTTTGAAATACTTTCGACTAGAGAGTCCTTGTTAACAAGATAACACTGTGTTAAAGAGCCCTGATTCAAGTGTGAGTATTTTATTTTGATTTTCTGCGTCATAGACTGTTATATTACTATGCATTTTGCCTTCACGGTCTACATTACAATTCTCATAGAACAAACATGCATGCTCATGGAGAGCCTGTAGTGTTGAAGAATCCCAGTAAGTGCATGATTTGATGACAGAGAAACAAACTGCATATATGGACATAATAAAATGCTTATTTCTTGATGACCAAGTATCATTCGTTAATTCATTGCACATTGAAATGGAGGCATTTGATTTTAAGGCAGTGGTTGATACATAGTGGCATTCATCAATATGACCTATAGTAATTGCAGACGAAGTATTTCTTTTACCTGAACTGGGTAAACAGTGGTTGACAAACAGCCTTGATTAGATTCTACTATTTGTATAGTAACGTTTAATGCATCTGCAACTGCTTGAATGATAAGTGCATCAGCCCATGTACCTTGAATACACATATTATTCAGATATCTTAGCCATGAATTTTCGGTATTGCTCTCAATAAATCTCTCTGGGTTGTCTCTCATAAATTGAACCCCAGCAGTACGTATATGCATATGATGGTTGCTATTGCCATATAATTGATGTGATACAGATCTAAAGAAACAATCGCCTGCACCGCCAACATCTATTGATTATAAACCAAGTTCACCTAATCTTGACTGCATCAAATTCTCAGAGGATATAGGAGAGGTCAATTGCATTGTTGAGCTGTGATTTTGCATAGAAGGTCTAATTATTGCATCATGATGATCAGTGTTGTATTTATCAGTAGGTCCTGGATTCTTCTCAAAGTCTTTACTTAATTTGAAGTTTACATAATTGGTCATATGACTCACACAATTGCAAGAAAACAATGATAACCATCGACGTGCTTTACATTTTAGTTTCATTATCTTGGGATAATGCCTGCTAAAGAAAGAAAGGAAGAGTGCTAAATAAACAAATCGCTGTTTACAAAGATACCAGCTCTGTTGACGTGTTTTTAGCTGAAAAATCGATGGGAAAATCGTAGCGTTTCTTTCTTCTGTCGTTTATTACTTTGAAGATTTGCTAAAATCAGGAAATAGGGCTCTTGTACAAAACCAAAACATTCATTAGTCTACAATTTGATTGTCTATTATCATTATCGCACAGTTCACAACAAGGAAACTGTAGCAGGAGGAGATTTTAAATTCGCATGTCGCGTGCCTGTTGACGTACAAGTTCCCGAGTGTAACAATTTCGGCTTTTCCAGAACGCGGATGACGGGAAACTCTGCCCCCCTTAATTGATAGGAAATATCAATAGTCCCATAAAATTCATTAACTGCGCCATGTTTACAGAAAATAAGACTGGAAAAAGGTTTTTCCGCTTTCCACCATCAAGAAATTCCACGTAGAAATAGTATTTGTAGCGTGACTGCGTGACCTTTCATGAGAAGTAAAAATTGTTTTTCTTTTTTTTTTTTTTTTTTTTTTTTTAAGAAGACACCTCCAGAAAGTTCTTTATCCTTCTGTCATCTTATTTGCCTGTTTTGTGACTGCAAATATCATCCGCATTTGCCATTACTTTAGATGATTGTCATGGCCTTTCCTGCGTGCACGTGCGATCAAGTTCATATACAGCACTCTTTCAAGTTTCTTTGCGTGGTGTCGGGCATAAGTGTGTAGGTCTGGTTCAAACGATATCTGCGCGCTGCAACACGGGTTTCTATATTTTCTCCCTTTTTTTTATTTGTATTTTTATTCTCCTCCTTGCATTATCACACATGTAGGTTTTTTTTATTCCCCCGGCGCGTTCCCTCAGATTTGGAAGTAGGCTATGAAAAGTCAATATTGACCAGAATTGATACCTTTTCTATCACTATTTGTTTCAAAGAACCCCTGTTATTTATAACTTTATTTCTGAAGAGAATATGCTTTTATTTGCCATTTACTTCCATTAGTACATGAAACTAGGTCCCGATAAGTTTTTTTGTTTCATGACTCCCAAAAGCTGTGTTTGCGACAACATCAGTTGAGAAATCAAAAGCAATTACACCCGAGAAATTCGCTTGTAGCCCTCTAAGCGCAGAAGGCAAATCCAAGTAATGAAGCTTTCTAAGGCCTCTATAAACTAGAGACATTACGTGATGTCGAGGGGTAAAATATTTACACTAAATCTGTGACCCTCAGATAGAGTACGTACGTCCGAAAAATGTCAGGCATGTATAACACCGTAGGCGCACCTGGCGAATTATATCCACTGGCTTCAATAGTAAAGAGACAACTTATTTACTATTTGTATATGAGCAAGCTTATTTACCCTACCTGTAAAACTCCTTGATGAAGTCTACTATTGTTAGAAGAAATGCGTGGGAGATAAATACAAGTTTTTATTTTCTCAGTTCGTGCGGTGATGCTCACTAGTTTGTTTCAAAAACGCCTTTAATGTGAAGTCACGTCGACCTCGACAGAAAAATTAAGCTCACCCTGTCATAATCAATGGTTTGATACCGTAAGTACCAGTTTAGGTACATCATTGGGCTTTGATCACAATAATGAAAAAAAAAATGTGCGTTTCCCCACGCTCGCCACATTTATTCTTTGGAAAATTATTTTACTGGAGGGCGATGTCACTTAGCTTGGTGCGTCTTGACTCTGGCCGACGAAAATTATCGAGTTGAACCCCATGAAATTCTTGTCAAATGTTTTATAAACTTTGTCTACCCTTGATTTGCACGCAAAAAAAAGGCAAATTCCGAACGAGATTTCAAAATATTTTATTCACTGGTCAATTTCTGACCTGTTTTATAACAGCCCGAGGAAAAAGTAAAATTGTTTCTAAGGAGTTTGTAAGTTCATTTTTCCTAGTAAATTTAACAGAGGGTCAATTTTTTGTGACAGCCGAAGATAGACATCTCTGAAAAGTCTCTGAAACTCTTAAAGAATTTACACTGCCGGTAATATTTTCCTCCCTCTCGCAACAGCGCAACAGACATTGTTAATCCTATGTAGTGTAGGTGTGTCAGTTGTATTACGTCTTCATAGTGATGCCGTATAAGAATCGAGTGTCTAAAAAGCTCTCAATTCTCGCTGGCCAGGGATGGCAACAGCTCACACCTCTAAACTCGTGGGTGAACAGCATAAAAAAAAAAAAAAACATTTGAGAGACGTCAATGTATCCTAAACATGCGTTTCGTCTGAGAAGAAGCTTATTCTACAGCGTATTGGCCTATTTAGAGATTACGAAGGTAGCGATTTCACGATACGCCTCAAATATCCTGCGCAACTTGGTATGAAAATCAGGGACGTATAAAAATCAGAGACGTAAAGTTGAGAGAGAGGTGAATCTGAAGATGGCAGAAGAAATCAAAGCTGGTGGCGAGTCTTCCTCGTGACAAGGTGACTGTAAACCTAATAGAACGCGTACTGTAACTGCTATCTTAGAGTCAGCAATGAATAGGGAAGAAGGGCAAGAAGGACGCTTATCTGAACATCAGTTTTCCTAACTAATGATTTGTGACTGAAATGAACTTTATATCATATGATTGCTAGGGATACGCAGGTACTGTAGAGATGCTCACATAAATAGAGGTGGGCGATCCTCCCTCTGACTGTAGAACTGCGACAAGTTTATAGCGCAGACCAACTGGCACAGTTTGGAGCACCTCAGGGTCTCACTTGGCTCATCACATTAGAAAACTTCAGCAAACTAATCATAGAAGTGGGTGGTTATCAGCAACGTGCCTTGATCCCTGAACGCGGGTCATCGCGAGAACTATGTCCAATCCGTCACAGACTGAACAAGAAAGCGAGATATTCTTGCTAAGAGGAAGGATGTATCAAGACGCTTCAGTCATTGGCTGCCATCCAAAAGCATCCTTACAAAGGCAAACACAGTGAAGCTGACAAAGAAATCCGCCTATGATAAGATCAAGAGAAAATGGACAAAGACCGGCTTGCCATTTTAAAGGGGGTGGCTACGTTCAAGGTCGGACCTCAGGTAAACTTCTGACGAAACATCCCTAACTAGCCAAATGGACTTTGCATGGGCTCTTTGGAAAACACAAAAACCAGCCACCCTTTCTCAGAAAGCAAAGAATTATCTCCTTGACATGAGCTGGACAGAGGAGGAAACTAGTAAGGCAACCGCCTCTAACAAGGCAGAAGATAAGGAGTGACCTTGCAAATTTGGACGAAGACTGCAGGAGAGGGTACAGCTGCTATTAAGCTAAAAAAAAACTTAAAGATCTTTGCATCTCACTTTTCTTTGCACTCCTCTTTGAATGTACGGTATTCTTTCGCCATGTTAGTCTTTTCATTCACGTTTCACAAAGGTTTCAGTGAACTCGGCGAAGGGAGAAAAGTCATGTAGCAATAAATCAGCGCATGACTCTCGTTTGAATATGCGCGCAGTACAATTTCTTATCCAGTCCTTCTCTGGCGGGTAATCCATAATGGCGGACGAAGTGAGAGTGTTTTTATTAATTCTCTAGGGATAAACCAAAACGGTTGTTTGTTATTTAAAAAAAACCTTTAGATTCAGTTTCTCAATTAAAGCTCTTTGTTCATTGCTCCATAATGGCAGAGAAGAATTCGAAAGGGAAGAAGCGAAAATGGGAACCAGTAGAATTGGACGATCCTTCGTTCTTTGCGGGCGAAATGGATGGATTTATGTCCCTTGAAGTCATGGAAGATTATCATCCAGAAGAGCTAGCAGGAATTGGTGCAGGTGGACCAGCTCAGAAGAAGAAAATAAAAGAATGGCCGCTGTAGGAGGTGAATTGCTTAAAGTGCTTTAAAACATACCGCATAGTTAAATTTAGAAGATACAAATGTAAGATTCACTTCAAGCACGTGGTGAAATTACCCTTGTATTTTACGAGAAATTGGGAAAAATTATCTTTTTAAATTATTTTGTTTATTTATTTTTTATTATAACTTATCTTTAATTATTAAATGTTGAGGGTTGTCCAATACATCCAAATTGGGTTGAGTCGTTCACAAATCGACCCACCAGAAGTTAATTAGTGGTTAAGTCATCTTGTGATACTGGAAATCTGAATAAACCGTGCCTCTTAAGGTGGAAATGTCTTACTTCAAGTCGATTTTCGAGACGCTTAATAATAATCCTCAACCTGACTCAAATGGAATGACTTGTCTCCTAAGTCAGATTGGGTGTATTGGACATGAGAATCAAAACTAAGATAACTGCCAGTCATACCTTAAATGAAAAAACAAACAAACAAACAAAAAGAAAACAACAACAACAACAACAACAACACTCACCACAAGAACTACATGGAAATCCAGGAATTCATCGAAATCATTTTGAGAGCAGTTTGTCCTAAATTTTTTGAAGACAGCAGACTGCATTGTCCCAAGGGCTCATGCATTTTTTCAGTCTTTACCCATATATGCACAATTATGTATATATAAGAACAGAAGCTTCTTTTTGGTTTTCTCAAGAAGTTTGGCTCACGGGGGAAAAAAAAAGCTACATAGTATTGTCTTTTGATTTAAATCTTCAGGATAATCTGGAACAAACAGTTACCACACCATCCACACAACTTGAAAAAGCACAAAGAATGACCAACTCACTCAGTTTTCACCCGGCCTGTCTAAATTCTTTAATCTTTGCCTTTGTTGCCTTTATAACATATTTAGTGTCGCTGATGGACAAAGTTGGGCTGCAGAAGAACAGTTGTAAAATTATCGATGTCACCAACAAGAGAGGAACCGTAGAAACCCTGACAGAAGCAAAGATCTCATGTGCAATTGAAGAGGTTTGTAATAGTTGAGCTAACAAGGAAGCAAAACTCTTCAAGATCCAGGATACAATTTTTATTACTTTTTATTGTTGGTTTGAGCCAAATGCATCTACATGTACACCACATTGTCTGGGAAACATGATCCATGGAACCACAGAGGTGTACCAAGTGAAATCGAAGGAGAACTACGAAACATACAGTTGTTGTAAAAATAACGTCATTCAGATTTATTTTGGCTTTCCTTTCTAGGAGCTTTATCTCCACTATTTCCTTTCCCGGTACCCAGGCCGTACTTTGGTTTTCTCCAACACCATGAACTGTGTGAAGAGACTGGGCTCTTTGTTTAGGCTCTTGGACTTTAACCCGTGGGTTCTGCCCGCCAGCATGCAACAAAGGCAAAGATTAAAGAATTTAGACAGGTCGGGTGAAAACTGAGTGAGATGAGAAAAAAAACAAAAAACAAAAAACAATGAAACAAACGAAACAAACAAAAACAAAAACCAGAACAAAAAACAAACAAATAAACAAACAAAAAACTCAACAAAACAAAGCAACAATTAGGAACCTAATTTTGTAGACAACGTGCTTTTTTTGCTGTTGCGTCTTTCACGTTCTTTACTCCGCAACTTGCTTCGCGCAAAACACTGGGCGACACGCTTGCTATGTGGCCTTGGATCAGAATCATCCTGATCTTATTACAATTTTTTTTCATCAAAACAGTGAGTATAGTTTACGAATTGACCGACCAATGGAATTTCCTTTATTTATAGACTATAACTGGATCGTCTTGACTGATTGAACCCGCCCCTCTCCTCCCTCAGAGAATATTTAAAGCTAGATAGGACTTACACCAGCAAATGAAATGTTGGCTGATTTTTTTCTTGCCTGTTAGATTTAAGCAAAGTGCGAGTGGCTTACTTCTGGCTACAGATGTGGCCACGAGAGGTTTGGACATACCAGCTGTCACTATCAAGTTCCGAAGGACCTTGATGTAAGTACGTGTAAGTATGTGTGTACGGTTAGTTAGCTTGTGCAGTTGGTTAGCCTGTGCGGCAGGCGGGAACGGAAGCGATTGCTTTTTGGCGGCAGTGCTTTCGTTCTCCGCGAAACTCTACCTTGACAAAAGGCTTCGGAAGTCACACTGCTTCAACCAACCATGCGTTGACCAAGGTGTGGGCTACAAGTCTCAACTGTAAGAGAAGCTCAACCAGAATGTTGATAGCAAAGTTCGAACGCCGTTGACGCCTGAATTCTTTTTTTACCTCTAAATTTATTTTATTGCATTTATTTTCTTATTTCTAAATCTTCATTTTCTAAGTCTTTGTTTTGTTTCCAATTTGAGTTAATGTGTGACGTTCACCTATCGAAATCAAAACATAATTCATTTATTAAGTTAATGAGTTTTGATTTAGGAAAAAAATTGACTCTGTTCTCCAAATGCAGTTTATATGAAAGGATCAGTTTGTTATCGTTTATCGTCCTCAGTTGTATCTCATTTAATAATGAACTGTTGTGTAATGATGTAACCACAATGTAAGTATTAACTTTAGCGCAACCACCTTATGTGATCCTGCGTTCCTAAATTCTTTCTCTGTGTTCGTTAACAGCTTTACATTCACCGTAGTGGAAGGACAGCTAGAGCAAGCAGGGAAGGTCTGAGTGTCGTTCTTGTTGGCCCAGAAGAAATGGGATCATACAAGAAAATTATGAAGACGCTTAATGGAGGTGATGTGTCTTTATTATGTGCAACATATCTCTTTAGCAGTTAAATTCTAAAAGGTTATTTGCAAATTCCCCTTTAAGGTGTCTAAATTTCCTTTTTAGTTAGATAACTCTTTACGCCATAATGTTAGCATGCATATTTTCCATACTGTTCCCTATATATTTCTTAAGGTGTTAACATGGAGATTTCGTCTCACAGTCAAGAGCTTTTTAGTTGGTGATCATTTCTCCTGTTCTCGTGACTTTAAAGGGAACCTGCATTTTTAAAGCAAATACTGCTAAAAAGACTCTAAATATATCAACTCAAGATATTTGGTACTTAAAATCATAACTCTAACCTTGTTATTGTTTTTTGCCGCTTTCAAAACTGGCCTTTACGGCAAGTTCGAACTACCCGCGTTCGCCATCTTGTTAGGTTGCGCTATGCGTTTTGGGTTGATGACGTGTAATGGTTGCTCCGTTCTTTCGTAGTTGGGTTTATCCTGGGGTTTTCCGTGGCAAAATGGCAAATAGCGAAGCATTCGAGTGCATTAGTCAGGTAAAAACCAAGCAGGATCCCAAGCTTCGCTTTTTTAGCTTGCCAAAATAAAACAGTTGTTGACGTGCATGGATTCATGCAAGTAGGTGAAGATGAAAAAAGAAAAAACAAAAACAAAAACAAAGAAACATGGCAATTATCTTGTGAGTAGCCCTTTGTTTTTGCATAAGAGAAAGGCCCAATTTGACAGTCGAACTTGACAGCTCAGCATTTTTCGCACAAAGAATTGTTCACGCAGTTACCGATCTTCTCTCCTTCATTCTCAATTCTTTCCAACCCTCCCCCCTCCTCCCCTCCCCTCCCCTCCCTTTCCATTTGTCCAAACTCCCCCTCTTATGAAAGCCATCGAACCATATTCACAGATTTAGGCGCAAAAAGTCAAGTAATGACCGGATGCTTGCCTCTGCCAAAGCCATGGACATTGAAGTTGACGAAGATTTGTATCTTTTTTGATGAGATGATTCGTTCATTTAGATGCAAATTCTCGATCATTACGCTCCTGTGTGCGATCGCATGGCCTGGGACTAACTAGACTAGCAGCTTCAACATTTGTCTTAGGCGGTTTGGGCTTGAATGCATTTAATGTCAGAAACATTTCAACGGAACGGGCGGAACTGGTGTTCTGGAACTTCACTGTCTTGAGGGTTTGATGTCACATTTTATACACTGTCCTCTTCGGTTTATTTTCCTTAAAAGAGTTTTTTACAGACTGGAAGATCTCGGAGATCAGGGAGAAAGGAAAGAGCGACAAGTAAAGCTGAAGCAATTGAAAGGTAATCAACCTTTAGTTAAGGCAGACAATGGTTGTACTGACAGTCCCACCAAAAATAATGGATCTTGCAGGCTGATGATATCTTAGTTCAACTAAAATAGGTTACATTTAGCTTGTAGTAGTAGGGTGGGGTGAGGATTATTGTTCCCATGGTTCTTACCTTTGAGTTCTATGTGAAAGTGTGAAAAGGTAGTAAACAGTCTTGATTTCCAGCCTTGTGTGGGTTAGCGTTAGCTTAGCCTGAGTCGAGTGCTCCTTTCATTTATTGGTAATTTTTTTTATAGAATCTATATCAGTGCCGTTTTATTTTACAGTGGAACTCACTGGTTTGCTGAAGACACCTCTGATTCCTGCTGGTTTTAGTGGAAAGTACCCGACTAAAACTGGATCCCTTATAATGCCAGGGATCAAAGGTATTAAGTGAATAGAGAAACAAGAGTATTTTGAGGGACAAAATGATGTGTTGCTAAACACATCGTTTTGTGATCTTTAGTGAGAGTATTATTAGTGATTTAACAGAGCTAGTGTCAACTGAGGCTCCTTTTATTTTGTTTTGTTTGTTTGTTTGTTTGTCTTTGATCTTCTCTTTTCCTGCTGCCATCCGTAGGTGGTCCACATGTTTTTTTTTAATGAGATAACTGCTTTTTTCCATTCCTATTCATGTGCCAATTGTTTAAATGTTCGTTTTATTTCGGTATTCACAGCCGACAGGAATTTAGAAGATAATGAAAAAGTGGCTGTTGAAGATGTAAGAAGAAAGAAAAGAAACAAGAAAAGAAAAACGTAACTTGCATTCTTCAAACGAGGTCGACAACTGATCGTGAAAGAAGAAGGGAGATTAAAAACACGAAATGGAGAAAGATTCTTACTTGTAACAACTGGACTGGAAGAGAAAGAGTTGATTTGAGCAAGGTTGACTAGTCAGTGGTAGAATAAACTAAAATCTCGTCTTAAAGTCTTTGACCCCGATGCTATATGGATACAATGTAACTTGAAGCAATGGCGTTCATACATCTTCGGGGCACCACCCTTCAGACTCGCGGTATAATACGACTGGACAAAGCAACTAGTCACAGTCTGACAACACATGTCCACTTTGCGCATTTTCTTGATTTGTGATTTGAATTGATTTACAGATGTTTTGTTCTTTACTCAGTGGCCCGAATTTAAAAGTTAGGATTGTTTCAGTCACATATTGCCACTGGTCATATGAAGGTTTCAAGAATGGGTCGGAAAGGAACTGAAAACGCTGTTTTAAAGGGAAATCATTTTTCACATGCTTGACAAATGTTGTCCACAAACCTTTCGCTAGTTCATATATATAAAAAAATTTCAAAAAAATATGTAGATGTGTAGTAAGCAGGAGATTCAGTAAAAGCCGGTCTACCGCCGTTTGTTGAGCAGGGTCTCGTGTTTAGGTTTCACCTTACGCCTTTTCTGTCACATTCGCTTTATTACATCATCGGCAGCTACTTAAATGTATTGAGACCCCAGAATGTGAGAGAAATCGTTGGAAGGCTGTACGAAGATTTTAATATTAAGAGGGCCAAACTACACGTACGTGTGCATGGCGTTACTTGAGGAGACGTGAAGAATAACCCTTTTCCAATAAATAAGTCATTTGCTGAGAAATCACTCTAAAGGCCTATTTACACGGTACGACTTTGTCGCATGCGACAAGCTTACGACAGGCCTACGACATGACTTAGGACAATTTACACGCGCACGACATTTTCACCTACGACATGCCAAAATCGCGTGCAATTCCACTCGTTTCGGCCGCGGTCATTGTTTCAATAATTTGCAAGAGAAGGAAAAGAACCTCTTCCCCGCTCCACAATGATATCATATTCTCTGTTTCCTCATCTGAGAATGTATTTTTCGCTTTGGAAGCAGTCTTCGACTTTCCGGAGGCGACTTCCTCCGCCATTTTGACGCAAGAAAATTTCACCTTCCTCCCCTACTCAGTAGAAATTTGTCACAAAATACGTCATTTTCTATCAATTTCGGCTACGATTGTCGCAGCGTTTAAAAACATGTTTTAAAATCCTACGACATTTTTCGTGACGTGCACGACAGTCGTAAGCGAGTGGTAGGTTTGATTTACACGATACAATTCGTGTCGTAGGCCTGTCGTAAGCTTGTCGCATGCGACAAAGTCGTACCGTGTAAATAGGCCTTAAGACTCGTTCACACTAAACTTCCCTTGAATCTTTGCCGTTTAGTTTATGCGTGAATGTTTTTTTGGTATCAATGCTATGAGAATATGTTACTATGTAAGTGCACCACTCCACACCCGGGTGAAATTTGCGACTTGACGTGAATACGCGCAGGGCTTAGTCGTATGTGAAATCTGATGACCCGATTCTACCTTGTCTATCTCGGTCCTGATGACCGATCAACATCCCAAACTGTAACCCAAGACTGGTGTGGTTAGGTGGCTTGATTTGTGATCTTAATTCCATTAGGACAAACTAATCCACAAAGCACCATTTTTAACTTATGGCTCGGTCTACACTGTACGCTTTTATGAGCCGTGACGCTGTGCAGCATTGCCTTCCTTCTTTACGAGTTATTTCATTTCGAACGCAATTTGCATTGTCATGGTAAAGTGAATCTTTTTGTTTTGTTTTGTTTTGTTTCTTTTGAAGGCTCTACTTCCTCCATTCTGTCGAGTGCGGGCCAGATCTCAATTCCCAGACAGATGCCGGGTATCGCTAAGGTTTTTTATGACATGTTTGACAAACGGCATCCGAAATGAAAAGAAAAGTGCGAAAATGAGAGGCAACTAGATCTCTACTTAATTCTTCATTCTAACAATTGCACATCAAGGCGGTAAAATCTACATTTTCTATGATAATGATTATATTATATATTATAATATGTATTGCACCATTATGCGAGCCAAATGCTGCATGGAGACAAAACCCTTGATTTAGTGGATTACGTTCTGCAGAGTCGTAATCCATCGATCTGAATTCAATTAATTTGGCCTGCTGGTCACTGGACTTGTAATGAGCTTGCAAATGTTACAACTTGAATATAATAAAACCTATGAAGAGTTAACAATAATCCTCACACAGAACTTGCAAACTGGTAATGTTCTCTTACTTGGACAATCGGGTCTCTGATAGGCAGTCTAGTTACACTTCTTACGCTCTCATTATTCTTGCTAGCAAATGAGATTCTCGATAATGGATAAGTTATCATTCTCTTAAATGCGGCACGGAATTTCTTCTTAAGGTATATCAGGAGCCACGGGTTAACAACGCTGTTTGCATGTCCACACCAATAGCATAACAGCATAAAATAATATGGCAGCGATTCCCGCACACTGAAGTCAATGGCCAAAATCATATGATACGCATGCGCTGGAAGCCAGCAAAGTGCAAAGGCAACAACGACAGCGATCGACATATGAATAACTTGACGCTTGGTAGCATGGGCCCGAGTTCTTGCGTGATTGTTGATGGCAATGCCCGGCAGTTTGTGCTTGTGCAGTGTGTGACAGACGTGTCCATAGAGAATGCACATGGTAACTAGGGGCAACAAGTAGATGGTGACTACGATATAAAGAAAGATACCTCTCAAAGCTGCTTGAGTCTCGCCAAACTGAGTAAACTTAAATTCTATCCTGGAGTTCTTAACTTTGACTATGATCAGCCATGGAGTCATCAGACACATTGAAGTGATCCAAATTGTGGGAACCAAGATCTTTTTGTTCCTAAAGCGAGGGAACTTTTGCATGGGAAGGACAATCCCGAAGAAGAAGTCAAAAGCCACGGCTGTTAGAGAGAAGACGGACGCTGTGACCGCCACGAAGAAAACAAACATGATGAGCTTGGCAAGTAATTCACCAAATGTTCCATCGATCCACAGATTATCCAAAATGATTAGTTCCATCGACTGAGGCATGACAACAGCTGTTACGAGTAGGTCGGCCACAGCGAGGTTGACGTACATGAAGCTTGTTAATCTTCTTGTTTCTGGCCTCTTGTACAGAATATAGATCACCAAAATGTTTCCAACTAAGGCCATTGAAATGATTGCAGCGTATAAGATGGCGAAGGTGAGTTTAATACTTGATGGATACGAGAATGGAGGCTGCGCCGTGGAGCCTGAAAGAGAATGAAGTACCATGGTTAAAGCAAAAACAAAGGAAATAGGTCTGCAACGCGCGCGTACACCGAAAGGCGACATAGATGGTGACAATATGCAGTAATAATTATTGGAAAAACATCCATTAAACCCAAGCTTTCTCCATCATTGAAGAGTGCATCAATCATGTCATAAGGGGATATGCAATTGATAGGAGGAAAATGTCAAAGCTGTTTGTGCTTTGCGTTTTTCACAAGTACTGCAGCAGCAACAATGGTAGCGTTAGCTATTTTTAGGACACTTTCAGGCGCTATTTGTGAAGGTGGTTTTCCTACCGTTATCAGCCTGCGAGGACGTCAACATTTTTGGATCTGCAGCTTCCTAGTCTCTACTGTTTGAAGAAGTCAGCATAAAATATCTGAATACTTGGTTGACGGGATAAGCTCAGCTCTAAAAAAGCTGAGTCTTTATTTCACTCAACGTTGCGTTCTTTGAATATTGGGTCTGCCAGGAAAAAAAGTGAATTTCAGGTTATCATTGTCAAAATTACAAAAATCTAGATGCTTACCACAAACGGCGCTGTTCAGCTAGCCTGCTTAACAGCCTCTTTCAGTTGATTTTTGTTTGTTTTTTGTATTTGTTTTTGTCTTGTTTTGTTTTTGTTGTTTTTATTGGTCAAAAATGTGCTGCACATTTTTTCAGAACTAAAATTTTGTCAATCAGTTATTTCGATAATGAGGGAAAAACCTGAGATCCGAGATAAAAATACCAGCAATCGTGTGATACTGAAAGAAAAGTGGGTAAGTTTCGATTTCAAGACGTCAAGTCGAGGAATTTTTTGCTCGTCATTTGCAGTACGTGTCAAACTTCGTCTTTTTTAATCATCGTAAACCAATTTTTGGATATTCTTATCATATTTTAAAGATATTCTCTCTCCCTAAAAATAAATGATAGATAAAACAATCAAAAAAGTGAGAAAACTGCCTTTTAAAAAGACAAACCCACCCCCAGGAGAGCTTTCCATCTTTATTTACGATTTTTAGCATAATAGAAAAGAATCGACAAATGGCGTTATGCTCTGGTAAGGATAAATAATGAGGCATGTTTTGCTTGAAGTTGCCATGAATTGGTTAAGGCCAACTAAAAAAAAATTCAGGTTCTTGTGTTTGTTTTGTCAAGAAAAAACGCTTTGTGTGAAAGATTGCAAGATGCTTGTACATTGTCCGTCAAGTTTCTTTTCTTGTTTGTTTAACCTTGATCCTCGTTACACCTCGTTTCCCTTTCAAAAAGGTCTCGAATCAATATTACTGAGTGATGAATAACAGTCTTCGAAAGCGTTTGCAAGACGTTTATACTCACCTTTTCCCCACGAACACGGGGGTTTTCATCTTTCAAATATATGTGCTGAGAATCTTGAAGTAATTTCCTTACTTCCTAGGCTCGTAGTCTTTTCGCATCGAGATTTATTCCTCACATGGAAATGAAGGATATAAAGTTTGGCTTTCTGTACATCAACTGTTTATAATTGGCCGTTTTTCCTTAGTTCTTTGCTGGAATTATCCGGTCATAAACCCATTGACGACGACAGCTTAGTTAAAGAGATGAAAATGGAAAATAAAAACTTAGCTAAGAAACTTTACTCTTGGGGAAGCCATTTGCCACCCAAATTATCGAATGATCGAAGCGCCAATTTTATGTCAACCTTTTTTTTTCGTCATCTAAGTTATTTTAGAGACGATTTCAGCGGATTTATCGCATAACGATAGAAAAAGATGATGAAAAACACATGGACAGTAAAAGTCATAAAAGTAAATCAAATTATCAAATAAAACAAAAGTGCTTTATCTTTCCTTGTACTATTGAGAACCCGGTTTGACGTTGTGATATTCGTTCCTACAAGGGAGAACTAAGACTGACTAAAGAAAAATTGGGAAAGTGGTTTTCTACAAAGATATCTTGATTCAATTATAATCCCGTAGAAAGTGGCATTCCAAGTTTACCTTCTCAAAGATATCTTGATTCAATTATAATCCCGTAGATGCAAGAGTTCGCATTCCAAGTTTACATCTCGAGGGTCCTTTCGGCTGCTAACATGGCTTAAGCATGATCACTTAATTACAACGACGTTTGCCCGTAGGGGCTTTATTTTAGCCGTGTAGAGCAAAGTGCCCATCGAGGCAAATCATGGTTCGTTCTGTCGTATCTTTGTTGAGTATTTGTTTTTCATCTCATTAGGAGGCCAATTTACTTTTATTTCTTTTACTTTTATTCCTCATGAAGCGTGTTAACAAACTCGAGGCAGTTAATATTCGAAGTTAGAGCAAAAGACGATTTTTAGGAGAAGAGAAAGTTGATGTACCGCAATGTACACTGGGATTCAGAAAAGAGCGAGACCATGTC